ACGATATATATAGGCAAAGCACCAAAGAACCAGAATGGCAACTTACCTTGTGAGGAAGATACGCAATTAAACGTCGAAGGAGCAGATGGAATCGTCCGCAGAAGGAAAGGAGTGAGGTGCGTGCGAATGGTAAGAACGAAGAGGCGGGTCGGATCTTCTCTTGACAATTGGACTTAAGGATAAATGGGCCAATACCAACAAGAGTGACATTGATTGAATTTTCCTTAGGACCAGTATAGTTGGGGGATTTTGGAGGGGAGGGTTCTTATTTAAATTTAAAACAATTTTTACATTTAGACAAATTGAAATAAAATGAGGACACAATAGTATATAAAAATAGTTTAACTAATTATATATTTATATATAGTCAAAAGCTAACAAATTCAGACAAATTAATAAAGTAAAAAATTAAGCCTTCCTTCCCTCCCCTCCAAAATCCCCCAATCATACAGGGGTTAAAGATCAACCTTTTTTGCATTTTCATTCATCCCCTTCATGATTTGTAATGATCTGTCTCAATAAGCATGTGATTCAATTCAAAGTCCATTTAGTTAAACTTCCTCTAGAAAACAAAAACAATAACAACACCATTCAAAAGAGGATGTAGAAATTTGCATCTCTATCACTAAAGATGGTTTCGGTAATGATTTGATCATTTGAAGCCTAACAACCCCCATATTCATGTGAATTTTGTTTACAAGTGGTTCTCTATTTAAATTGATTTGAATCCATTAAAATATTAACTTAAACTGTCGGCCCAACGGAAGACATTTAAGTTAACTTGGATAATTTATGCACCCCATTAACGCTATCAAATCAATTTTATGAAAAATAAGATTGCGTGCTCTAATTTGGGATTTTGTGCAAATTGGGGATAAGGGCCAAAAATGACACTAAGGTTTTTAATGAAACTCGGATGGGACACTTAGGTTATTAGTAGACCAAATTAACACATATTGAAGCTTTTGGGTTGATTTTTAGCCATCCACTAACTTTCCCCTTAAACGGGCGTTTCCCCTGCTAACAAACGCCACTCCCTGCGACTAAACATCACAACCTAAAGATGAAGGAAAACTGAAAGATGGCCGTCGGCGAGCAGCAAGGGAGACAACCAGTGTTGGCGGAGTGTGGTAATCAGAATGGCCGCGTTGACGACCTCATCCTGGTGGCGCTTATTAGGAAAGAGACAGTCGCCGCCAACTCCTCTTCGTCTTCTTCAACCACCGCAGCTCGCTTCCCTCCGCCCGGCCACCTTCATTTCTCGATGGGCTCTGTATCTCGCCGGAGGACCATCGATCACCACCAGTTGCATAGATTCTTCTTATCGAACTCCGCTACCACCACCGCAGCTTTGTGTTGCTCTTCTGCAGCCACACCAACCTCATTTACTTCGGAGTTCACTTCCATTATTATCGACGGCAAGAAACTTTCAAAAGAAATCAGAGACGAAATTAGTGCTGAGATAACTAAGATGAAGATTCTATAGGGCTCATTCCTGGTCTGGCAGTCATTCTGGTATGCGACAGGAAGGATTCTGCAACTTATGTTCGCAACAAGAAAAAGGCATGTCAAGATGTGGGGATCAGTTCCTATGAGGTGCGATTACATGAAGATTCAACAGAAGAGGAAGTTCTTAAGCATATATCCAGATTCAACGATAATCCATCCATCCATGGTATTCTTGTCCAGTTGCCTCTACCTTTGCATATGATGTCTGCATAATAGGTGGGTGATGAGAATTAGGGTTCTTGTGTCTGTGTTTATTGGGGTGTGGTTTAATAGCAGGGAAAAGGCGTCTTGCAAGGAAAGTAGGAAACGCCCGTTTAACGGGAAAGTTAGTGGATGGCTAAAAATCAAGGCAAAAGCTTTAATATGTGTTTATTTGGTCTAGTAAAAAGCTAAATGTCCGATCCGAGATTCGTAAAAAACGTTAGTGTTATTTTTGGCCCTTCTCCCTGCAAATTGTATATAACATTATACAATGAACCCAAAGGCTAGTTGTTTAATGATATATATGATTGTATTATGACTTATTGGCTGAATATATCCTCAACTTTCTTAAAATTGGCAAATATATCATCATCTTTAAATTTTATCTTAAAAAGATTCAAAGTATGTGTTTCCCCAGCAATACCACTTCCCGTTTAGAAGCTGTTCTCTTCATCTGATCTGAATTTTTTAAGTTCTGATCTGATCTTATCTGAATTTTTCTGATCTGATCTGATCTGAATCTTTCTGATCTGATCTGAATGTTCCTGATCTGATCTGAATGTTCCTGATCTGATCTGAATGTTTCTGATCTGATCTGAATCCTTCTGATCTGATCTAAATCTTTCTGATCTGATCTGATTTGAATATTTCTAAAATTATAATTACTATAATTATAAATGTAATTACACATATATAATTTAAATATGATTATAATTATAATCATAATTATAAAAATTATAATTATAATTACAAACATAATTATAACAGGTATAATTATTATTATATGTATGATAATAACGAAAACAAAACTAATAACAATAACAACAACCATATTAGTAGTAAGAATAATAATATTCATGATAATAATAAATATCATAATAATAATAATTTAGAATAATAATAATAATCATAGTAATAATAATAATAATAATAATAATAGTAATAATAATAATAATAATAATAATAATAATAATAATAAGAAGAATAATAATAAGAATAATAATAATACTAATAATAATAATATCAATAGTAATATTAATTATAATAATTACAATAACAACAAGAATAATAATTATAATTATTATAAATATTATTATAATTATTATTATAATAAAAAGGAAAAATCATGTCAGAACTTTTTTGATCTGAATATTCCTGATCTGATCTGAACGTTCCTGATGTGATCTGAACGTTTCTGATCTGATCTGAATCTTTCTGATCTAATCTGAATGATTCTGATCTGATCTGAATCTTTCTGATCTGATCTGATCTGATCTGAATAAAATAAGAAATAAGCAATAAGTAATAAGATTAAGACGAACTTAGCCAAGTTATTTCTGTCCGTTAGTTGATGAAGTGGCAAATAAATCATTATCCACTTCATCAAATCCCACAGGTAAGAAAGCTGAGATAGTTTAAAAGATTAAGGGAGTGTTTGTGATTGCTTCTACTTTAAAAAAGTGATTTTTTAAAATGATTTTGGAGAAAGTACTTAATAGTAAAAGTTGGTAGTGTTTGAGAAAAAAGTGATTCTGAAAAAGTAAAAATTGGTAGTGTTTGGTAAAGTAAGTGCTTTTTGCGTAATAGGAAAAGTGAAAAGTAGTTTAAAGCATCCTTTCACCTGCTTCCAGCTTTTAGCTTTTAAGTGATTAATTTAAGCAGAATTTGTCATTTGAAAACACTCCTTTCAACTTTTTTTAAGCAAAAAGCTCAAAAGCACTTTTATTAAGCAATGCAAAACACTACTAAAGTAAGGGCTGGTTGGACTGTTAGGTTGAGAGTTCTTCATCGCAGGACTGATACGCATCTCGTGGCCGGGAGAACCCAGAACATCTGATGTGCTGCTGTTGCTGCTGACCTTCGAACGGTGAGCTATGAACTGGATCGACATCACGCTAGAGAAGACGGAGTGTTGTGCCGGAGAAGAAGAGCCGTACCGCCGGACCTAATTGCTGCCACCACCGTCTCTCGCCTGAGACGCCGCCACCGTAGTTGGAGGAGACAGTACGTCCAAGTCTCTCAGGAATTTTAGAAGCTCCCAGGAGACGTCAAATACGCAAAGGAATCCTGGGAAAACGTTTTAATTTACAGGTGCAAGTTTTAGTTGGTATGTGTCTGTCCCTGTTCATTCTATATACTTTTATTTATTCTTCACTTTAGCCCGCAGGTGTTTGACAAAATGTCTCAAAGAAATATTTCAGATGAAACGTATGGACTGTGGATATTTTAAATGGGTGGAGGATGTAATGAAGAAAAATGTTGAAGCACTGAATATGGATGTGAAGCAACTGAAAGAACATATTGATGATCTTGGTAGAGAAATGAGAGCTCATGTGATCCACATAAAAAATGAAAACCAAGACAGAAAGGCGGGCATAAGAGAGTTTGAAAGAAACCACACAAGCATGAACGGGATAAAGATCGTGTTCATTATGTTAGTGTTGTATGGCGTTACACAGATGAGTTTGTTTCATCATAGCGATATAGACTAATGTATATATAAGGATGGAAATTCTGAAGTATTATTATTGATTAGAGTTCATGTACTATTGGATTATGATTTGGAATAATGGCTAGAAAGTTTTATATTTTGCTTACTACTCCATATTTTTTAGTGTATTGTATCTATAGCAGTCCAATGGTACATTTGAAGTCCCCTAGTGTAGTATTTTGATTCATTTTAACATGTGTACTGTTTTGGTTTCTCTCAAAGCTTCATCAAAGCATACACATGGAGGAAAATAGCAAAAGTACAAAGCTACAGCTCTGCTTAATCTACATGTTGAAGTAGAAACAATAACAAATTGATCAAATTGATCTCTGTTGGAAGCTGTAAAAGTGCAAAACTGCACTTCATTGAAAAATGATGCATCAAAGCATAAAAATGCAGGAAATTAGCAAAAGAATAAAGGAAAACTAGCACAACAACACTGCAGAAAAAGCTGCATCAAAGGAATTGCAGAAAACTACACAAAAACTGCATAAAAGCTCCTGAAAACTGTTTTACACCTACTGGAAACTGCAGAACATAAGCAATGCACAAAAACTGCTGAAAAGTGCTCAAAAGTTGCTGAAAAATAGTTTTACACTTGCTGGAAACTGCAGCAACATAAGCACTGCTTAAAATTGCTGAAAAGTGCTCAAAAGCTGTTGAAAAACCTGTTTTACACCTGCTGGTAACTGCAGCAACATAAGCAATGCACAAAAAGTGATGAAAAGTGCTCAAAAACTGCTGAAAACTGCAGCTAATTTCTTCAAGTAAAAAATGTAGTATCACGTCTCAAATATCGCTACACAACATTCTAAAACACAACAAAGTAAAAGATTGTCACAACACTTAAAAGTGTGCATCACATCCGTAACAAGTGATTATCATTCAAATGAAGATTACATTGTCACATAAAAAAAATAACTAGTGAGTCATCATTTTCTTTTTGAAGCACCCTTTGCTTTGGAACCACTTCCTCCATTTTTTTCTTCTAAATTTGTTGCTTTCTCTAGGAGTGATTGTCCTTCAAATTGTGAGCAACCCGAAATAGAAAATGTGTTTCTTAGCCCACTTGAAGTTGGTTGGGATGCAGTAACTCCAAACTCACCATCAAACTGTGAAGTAGGTTTGGGCCTTTGACGGTGTGAGACTACTTTCTTTTTTTCTCCAGTACTCATAAATGGCGTAGTAGCAGAAGATGTTGTTTTCTGCGGTCTACCTCTCGATCTCTATAAACATAAAAAGAACTCTTAGGATATACGCCTCATATAATATGCATTATGACAACACATTTTTTTATCATCCATCAAATAGAGACATAAACCAAATACATTTCAAAGTTAACAATAAACACATAAATCAATTACCTTGGTAGTTGCAGCAGTGTTAATTTCTCTTGTCTGCTTACCAGGGCCGGCCCAGGGCATGTCTGCCCAGTGCAACCGCACAGGGCCCGGAATTTTGAAGGGCCAAAAAAAATAGTATTATACCCCAGCCCAAAAAAAATTAGTATTACACATTTACATCCAGCCCAAAAACATCCGCCCAACTCCCCCTGCGCGTCATAGACATGTGCAAGAAATCCCCCAACTCCCCCACTCGTTGTTCTCGATCATCGCCAAGACCACTTCGCCGCTGCTCTGGATTGAAGGCTTGAAGCCGTTGACCTCCGCCACCAAATGCTGCTGCGCCAGCTGTCACGCCCCGGACCTACCGGACACGTCAACAACCCGCCGTACAGTACGAATAGTCAACCGCAGTCCAACTCATCCATACTATACTAGGCGTCTTGAATACCATTCACACATAGTACATCCATAAACAATCATAACGTAAAATATTTAATTAAGCAGCGGAAACATAATTACAAATATTCGAGCCACACGTGGCAACCACGGGCATACAAGCCCCCAAATAAATATTCGAAATAATATCCATGAGCATTATTTAAATTGTTTTCAAAACAGAAACAGGAGAAGTACGAACCCCGCCTTCCTCCTTGAATTCCCGAAGCAACGAACGGTAGTAGCAAGCTCTACTCCCTACCTGAAACTGTGAGGTGGCCTCCCCCGTGAAGGGGAGGTCAGTACTTGGAAGCATTTGACAAGTACAATGACAACTATACTAAGTATAATCAAAGTTTCAATTTCCAAGACCCTCAATCCAAGATGTTACTCATTTGTACTTAACTCATGTTCCTTCATGCTAGAGCTCGGCTCATAGTCATGCTAAATTGTGCTAGAGCTCGGCTCATAGTCACACTACATTTGCTAGAGCTCGGCTCATAGTCATACTAAATTGTGCTAGAGCTCGGCTCATAGTCACCCTACGTTTGCTAGAGCTCGGCTCATAGTCATGCTACCACGTGCTAGAGCTCGGCTCATAGTCACGTCAACTAATCCCTAAACCACTTCTTAGTCTAGGTTCCATCCATTTTGAGTAACCCTTAAGGCCTACTCCAAATGTAACTTAAGTTCATAATAACTTGAATATCTCAATTAAATTCCACATTCAAGTATATCTTGGCTCTAATATCAAAATATCACTTTTATCCTTCCATGACTTCCTTACATGAGGTAAAAGTATATTTATCACAATTTAGTTTATAGTTTGCACAACTATTATACCATTGTATTCATAACACATAATCATACACAATTTATTCATAAATTTGTATATTATGCATTTTTGCTTATAAACAATAACAATCTCATTTAGGCATTTTATTATTATAAATACATCATGCCAAACACATATAATTCATTTAGGTAATCTTATGAAATTAACCCAATAATTATAAGCAATATAGTCGGTCATCCTCACCTTAAGTGAGCTTAAGCGTGTTCTACGCTCCGCGGTTGAACTTTGACCGATTCCGGTGAACTTTGACCAACTCCGGCCAACTTTGACCAACTCCGGCGAGACTCCGGCGAAGCTCAAAGATACTCTAAATCAAGTTCCTAACAAGGTTTTAACATCATAAAACCTTAATCAATACACATAACCCTTAAAAGGTTATTTTCCGGTGAACCGGTCGGTTTGGCTTCTAAGTCCGTTCTTGGACTTAGAACTACTCCCCAACCCATTATTCCACACTATTGTCATGTAGAACAACCTCAAGGGTTCTCCATAAGATATGTATCTCATAGGTTAGGGGAAAAATAAAGGAAAAGTTAATACAAGGTCATTACCTTAATCTTTCTCACTTTTCCTAGCCTTTTTCTCCCTTTAATCTTCCTCCTTGGAGCTTCCTTGCTTGAGTTCAGTTCTTGGCTATGGAGGATGAGGTTGCAAGAGCTATCCTTCTCTCTTGGTTCTCTTTGGCCGAAATAATGGGAGAGGGTGAGTGAGGGGATAGCCTATTTGGCATTTCTCTCAAAATAATGTGTAAATGGACCCCCTCATGGTACCTTGATAGCTTCCTCCCACCTCCCTCTTGTCTCACAGCTCAAGTGTGACACAAATCAGCCCCCTTTGGCTGCCAAATTCGTGGGTTGGCCCCCACCCATGTGGGAGGTCAACCCTTTTTGTCCAGAAGTGTACAATTGGTCCCGAAAGTTGTATTTTTCGGACTGTTTTAGATATATTTTATTTTATCGGGTCAAATAAAATATATTATGTGTTCTCCATCATTATGACCCCTATAATGAATATTCATCTCCCAACTTTAATTTATAAGTCCCCGAGATTCAATTTCGGGCTTTCATCGGTTAAATTGCCAATACCGGTATTTGGGCCTCTTTTGACAAATCGGTCAACTCTGGACCTTCCCATGGCTCAAATGAGATATCCACCACCATATAAATATTATCTAGACCAAGATGAATAAAATATGTGGTCCCGGAAATATCGGGCGGCCCCCGCTCCCGGTGTGGGCCCCACGTGCGAATTTACTATTCACGCGAAAGAATTAATAAAAATTCATAACATCGTAAACTCGTTACCCAATCCATAAGCTTAAATACAATATTATTCACTTAAGAGTAAATGCATTTGGGGACGGTGTTACAAGTTCACCCCCCCTTATTTGGGATTTCGTCCCCGAAATCCATGTGTCTAATCGAAAAGAAACGGGTATTGCTCCCTCATTGAGACCTCGGTCTCCCAGGTTTCTTCTTCGACTCGATCACTCCTCCAAAGAACCTTTACCATAGGAATCTCCTTGTTCCTCAGTTTCTTCACCTGTTGACCCACGATCTTCACCGGTTCTACCGCATATTGCAGATCTTCGCGTATCTCTACCGGTGGCCTTTCGAGAATATGAGACAGGTCTCTCACGTATTTCTTGAGCATCGATACATGAAACACGTCGTGTATCTTCTCAAGTTCTGGCGTCAACTTGAGACGGTATGCCACAGCCCCTATCCTTTCAAGGATTTCAAATGGACCAATGTATCTGGGGTTAAGCTTTCCCCTCGATATAAATCGGATGATACCCTTCCAAGGGGAAATCCTTAGGAAGACCCTATCACCGACTTCAAACTCCAATGGCCTTCTTCGTTTGTCGGCATAACTCTTCTGCCAATCTTGGGCAGCCTTGAGTCTGTCCTGAATGACTTTCACCTTAGCCTTGGTGATTTCAACAAGTTCAATCTCTTCGAGCTTGGCCTCGCCAACCTCGTCCCAACACAACGGTGTTCTGCATTTTCTCCCATACAATGCCTCATATGGAGGCATGCCAATACTCGCCTGATAACTGTTGTTATAGGCAAACTCAACTAGAGCCAAATGCTTGTCCCAACTTCCTTGGAACTCCAGAGCACATGCCCTAAGCATGTCCTCCAATATCTGTATCACTCTCTCGGATTGTCCATCCGTCTGTGGATGAAAAGCTGTGCTAAACCTCAGTTTAGTACCCAAAGATGCTTGAAACTTGGGCCAAAATCGAGATGTGAATCGTGGATCCCTATCCGAGACAATGGATATCGGGACTCCATGTAGTCTCACAATCTCCTCCGTGTATAGCTTTGCCAATCTTTCAAGAGGGTAAGTGACGTTAATAGGCAAAAAGTGTGCACTCTTGGTGAGCCTATCAACTACTACCCATACCGCATCATAGTTGTTCACGGTCCGTGGCAACCCCACCACGAAATCCATAGTCACATGCTCCCACTTCCATTCTGGAATGGAAAGTGGCTGTAATAACCCAGCTGGGTGCTGATGTTCTGCCTTGACTTGCTGACAAGTAAGGCACCGACTGATGTACTCGGCTATCTCTCTCTTCATACCGGACCACCAGTAGCTTTCCTTCAAATTGCGATACATCTTCGTGCCCCCCGGGTGCATGGCATAAGCCGATGAATGAGCTTCCTCTAAGATGGACTTTCGGAGCTCATCATCCGCCGGCACACACACTCGGTCACGAAATAATAAAAGACCGTCGTCTCTTTCCCTGAAGTCCTCCACCGGTCCCGCTTGCATGCGTTCCCTGATCTTCATAATTTCAACGTCAGTTTCCTGACCCTTCTTGATCTCATCAAGCAAAGTAGGTCTCACCTCAAACCGTGCCAATAAGGCACCATTACTGGACACCTCCAGTTGGGCTCTTAATGCCCTCAAATTAGCTATCAATGCCCCAGATGAGCTCTTCCGGCTCAAAGCATCTGCCACCACATTTGCCTTGCCTGGATGGTACTCAATCACTAGATGGTAGTCCTTTATCAACTCCATCCACCGTCTCTGCCTCATGTTTAACTCTTTCTGAGTAAACACGTACTTCAAGCTCTTATGGTCAGTGTATATGTGACATGTCTCTCCGTAGAGATAATGTCTCCAAATCTTCAGTGCGAACACCACTGCTCCCAACTCTAGATCATGGGTGGGGTAATTTACCTCATGCTTCTTCAACTGTCGTGAAGCATAGGCAATTACCCTCCCCTCCTGCATTAACACACATCCAAGCCCTTGGATGCTCGCGTCACTATAGACATCGTACCCCATACCCTGTTTGGGTAATGCAAGTACCGGTGCCTCGGTTAATCTCTTCTTCAGTTCAGTGAATCCTTTCTCACACTTGTCATCCCATACAAACTTAGCTCCTTTTCGAGTGAGCTTTGTCAACGGTGATGCCAAAACAGAGAACTTTTCCACGAACTTTCTATAGTATCCTGCCAATCCAAGGAAACTACGAATTTCCTTGACGTTCTTTGGCCTCTCCCATTCGGTGATGGCTTCTATCTTCTTGTTGTCGACAGCAATTCCCGATCCCGAAACCACGTGCCCGAGAAAGCCAATCTCCTTAAGCCAAAATTCACATTTAGCAAATTTGGCATAGAGTTGCTTCTCCCGTAGTGTCTCAAGAACGAGTATCAAGTGCTCCTCATGCTCTTCCTCACTCCTTGAGTAGATCAAGATGTCATCAATGAACACAATCACGAATCGGTCCAAGTATTTGTGAAATACTCGGTTCATCAAGTCCATGAATGCCGCCGGGGCGTTTGTTAATCCAAACGACATAACAAGGAACTCAAAATGCCCATACCTCGTGCGGAAAGCACTCTTCGGTATGTCATCCTCCTTAATCTTCAATTGATGGTACCCCGACCTCAAGTCAATCTTTGAAAACACGGTTGCTCCTCGTAGTTGATCAAACAAGTCATCAATCCTAGGCAAAGGATACCTATTCTTGATTGTGACCTTGTTCAGTTGACGATAGTCAATGCACATTCGAAGTGTTCCATCCTTCTTTTTCACAAAAAGGACTGGTGCTCCCCACGGGGAGTGGCTTGGTCTGATGAAACCGTTATCCAAAAGCTCTTGCAATTGGGTTTTTAACTCGTTAAGTTCAGCGGGTGCCATACGGTATGGTGGTATGGAGATTGGTTTGGTGCCGGGCTCGACCTCGATCACGAACTCAATCTCCCTATCGGGTGGAAGTCCCGGTAAGTCTTTTGGAAAGACATCCGGATACTTGCATACCACCCTCACATCATCAATGCTCGCCTCTTCCTTGGTTTTGTCCACCACGTACGCTAGATATGCGTGACATCCCTTCCTCATCATATTCTTAGCCCTCACAGCGGATATGATACAACTATTGGATTTTGCCCTATCCCCCTCGAAGCGTAAGGTCACCCCTTCATTGCCTTCGAGTTCAAGTACTTTCGTGTAACAATCGACCCTAGCATGATGCTTCTCAAGCCAATCCATCCCCAGGATTGCATCGAACTCAATCATACTCAGCGGCACGAAATCACACGACAAGTTTTGGCCCTCCACTTCCACCTCACACGATGGATAGTGGCTATCTCTCTCGATGTCTTCCCCTAGGGGTGTGGATACCAATAGGGCTTGAGTCATCGGTACCAGGGGTGCGTTGAATCCCCTGGCGAATGCCTCACTCACAAATGATCGTTGCGCCCCGGTATCGATGAGGATTCTCGCACATCTCCCATTAATCTTTAGTGTTCCTACATTTATAAGCCATGTAAGATACCTCTCTAACATACCGACCAATCCTACGAAGAACATAATGCGAAATTATGTCCTTAAAGTGGGCAAAGTCCCCCAATTATAGTTAACGTTCGCAGTTGAGATATAAATTGACACTGTCTCACCGTTTTGATCATATCTCTTCACATACTTAACCAAATCGTTCGATTCCAATTCCATCATTTAGACAATGAAAATATCTACAACTTTCATGAAGACAACTTTTTCATTTGACGAACACCTTGGGGTGTACCCGGTCGGGTAACATGCCATACCCGGTCGGGTATGGGTTCCAGTGGATAATCTCCCACTCTACCCGACCTGGTAGCAAGTCGGGCCACGATATTCATCAGACCCGGTCGGGTACATCATAAGACCCGGTCGGGTTTGTGTTCCAGTGGGAAATCTCCCACTCTACCCGGTCTGGTAGCATGTCGGGCCCAGATTTTTTTCATCAGGCCCGGTCGGGTACACCACCAGACCCGGTCGGGTAGGTGTTCCAGTGGGTATTCCAGTAGGATTTTTCAGTAGACCCGATCGGGTGGCCCAAAATGCCCGGTCGGGTATGTGATCCAGAATGCTTACGAGGGCAAGAACTTGTCCTACCCGGTCGGGTTTATTGCCCTACCCGGTCGGGTAGTAACATGGTTTGCTCTCTTTTCCCATTTCGATCTTATGTTTGCTCTCACCTGGATTCTAGGATTTATAACTTCAATTTATGGATGGGAATGCGTAAAGCGAGAGGAGTTAAGCGGTCAAACCTGCAACCGAATCTGGGTTAGCTCGGGCATCCGCCTCCGTCATTGTGTAGACCCTTGCTTGGGTCCTTCCTTGGTTCACGGAGGGTGCGTTGCTCGTACTTGCTCCCCCTTGCCCCGTACTAGCATGAGGTGCTCCGGTTCGGCTCCTACTTGCCGTAGTAGCGCCGCTTGATCCCGCTCCTCGGTTCCTACCAAGTTGAGGGCAATTGGGCTTAATGTGCCCCGTGTCCCCACATTGGTAACACCGCGGCGGATCGCGACACTTACCGGCGTGGCTCCGGTTGCAATTTCTGCATCTGGGCGCCGTTGAGGCTTGTGAGCCCGAGTTGTGCCCGCCGAAGGCCGAGTTTCCCTTGGATGGCGGTGCCGGCGCTCTGAACGATCCCCCTCCCCCGTGGTTCCCCTTTTTGTTAGAACCTTGGGGGCCATGGTTCTCCCATTTCCTCTTCTTCGCCTCTTCGGCGTTCCTTCGCTTTCTTTCCTCCCACTCTTTTTCTCCCTTCAAGCCTTGTTCAACCACTTGACTAAACGTCATATTAGGCAATTGTGTTGCCCTCTCACGTATGTCAAGGTCTAAGGCATCCCAGAAATGGTTCACCATCCGGTTTTCGTCACATATGTACTCCGGTATGAACTCAGCAAGTTTTCTGAACTTGTGCTCAAGTTCCTTCACCGTGCATTCCCCTCCTTGGGTCAAATTCGTGTACTCCCTTCTCTTCAAGTTCACCTCGAAGTCGGAGTAGTATTGGCTAAAGAATTCTTGCCTGAAGTTCTCCCAAGTGACCGTCTCACCATACTTCCCCTTGACACCGTCCCACCACGTGGACGCCATTCCTTCTAGCAACCTTGTTGCCACCCTCATCTTCATATGGGGTGGCAGCTGCATATCAAGGGCTGCTTCATTGAATCTCTTGATCCAGTCGGCCGCCACGGAGATGTCTCCCGTTCCATCAAACGGCTTACATCCCAAGTCTCTTGCCTCCTTTAGGTACTTTGAGATTCTTATGATAGGAACCTCGGCACCTCGACCTCCTCGGAGTTCAATGCTCTCCCTAGGAGTCGCGCGGCTTCCTCTCCTCGAAGCCCCTTCCAAAGCACGCCTTGCCCGGCGCCTTTGGCGATCTTGTTGGTATTGCCGGAGCAATTCCTCAATCCGTTCAAGAGCGTCATTATCATCGCTCTCATCACTAGCATCGTCGTGTTCCCCATCATATGGGGTCTCAACCGGCTCAGTTCCCGGTTGGTAAGTTGAATCCTCCTCGGACTCATAGTGCTCATCTATTGTTTCCACGTGACCGTCACTCACGGTCAGCGAGTGGCCTGCACGGTCCTGTCCCCTAGACTCTCTTGATCCCCCCCGACTTCCATGTTGGGATCCTCCCAGCGCCTGGCCAGTCGGGTTCCGTCGAGTAACTCTACCGGTACGTTCCATTTCTGAAAGAAGTTTAGAATGAGCCATTAGACTCGTATCAATGTCAAGTGACGGATAGGTACTTAAAGACATCTTTTGGCTCGAATCACCGTCATACCAATTGTTAAGGGTACCATCTTAACAATTAGAGACCTTGCAACTCAAGTACCAAAAGTTCCATAAGTACAAAACTTTATGCTCATGGTTTGCAAAATCGTTTTCAAAAAGGAGTTTTGAAGCTTCGTTATGAAGTTTACGGACTAAGGCTCTGATACCAATTAAATTGTCACGCCCCGGACCTACCGGACACGTCAACAACCCGCCGTACAGTACGAATAGTCAACCGCAGTCCAACTCATCCATACTATACTAGGCGTCTTGAATACCATTCACACATAGTACATCCATAAACAATCATAACGTAAAATATTTAATTAAGCAGCGGAAACATAATTACAAATATTCGAGCCACACGTGGCAACCACGGGCATACAAGCCCCCAAATAAATATTCGAAATAATATCCATGAGCATTATTTAAATTGTTTTCAAAACAGAAACAGGAGAAGTACGAACCCCGCCTTCCTCCTTGAATTCCCGAAGCAACGAACGGTAGTAGCAAGCTCTACTCCCTACCTGAAACTGTGAGGTGGCCTCCCCCGTGAAGGGGAGGTCAGTACTTGGAAGCATTTGACAAGTACAATGACAACTATACTAAGTATAATCAAAGTTTCAATTTCCAAGACCCTCAATCCAAGATGTTACTCATTTGTACTTAACTCATGTTCCTTCATGCTAGAGCTCGGCTCATAGTCATGCTAAATTGTGCTAGAGCTCGGCTCATAGTCACACTACATTTGCTAGAGCTCGGCTCATAGTCATACTAAATTGTGCTAGAGCTCGGCTCATAGTCACCCTACGTTTGCTAGAGCTCGGCTCATAGTCATACTAATTTGTGCTAGAGCTCGGCTCATAGTCACCCTACGTTTGCTAGAGCTCGGCTCATAGTCATGCTACCACGTGCTAGAGCTCGGCTCATAGTCACGTCAACTAATCCCTAAACCACTTCTTAGTCTAGGTTCCATCCATTTTGAGTAACCCTTAAGGCCTACTCCAAATGTAACTTAAGTTCATAATAACTTGAATATCTCAATTAAATTCCACATTCAAGTATATCTTGGCTCTAATATCAAAATATCACTTTTATCCTTCCATGACTTCCTTACATGAGGTAAAAGTATATTTATCACAATTTAGTTTATAGTTTGCACAACTATTATACCATTGTATTCATAACACATAATCATACACAATTTATTCATAAATTTGTATATTATGCATTTTTGCTTATAAACAATAACAATCTCATTTAGGCATTTTATTATTATAAATACATCATGCCAAACACATATAATTCATTTAGGTAATCTTATGAAATTAACCCAATAATTATAAGCAATATAGTCGGTCATCCTCACCTTAAGTGAGCTTAAGCGTGTTCTACGCTCCGCGGTTGAACTTTGACCGATTCCGGTGAACTTTGACCAACTCCGGCCAACTTTGACCAACTCCGGCGAGACTCCGGCGAAGCTCAAAGATACTCTAAATCAAGTTCCTAACAAGGTTTTAACATCATAAAACCTTAATCAATACACATAACCCTTAAAAGGTTATTTTCCGGTGAACCGGTCGGTTTGGCTTCTAAGTCCGTTCTTGGACTTAGAACTACTCCCCAACCCATTATTCCACACTATTGTCATGTAGAACAACCTCAAGGGTTCTCCATAAGATATGTATCTCATAGGTTAGGGGAAAAATAAAGGAAAAGTTAATACAAGGTCATTACCTTAATCTTTCTCACTTTTCCTAGCCTTTTTCTCCCTTTAATCTTCCTCCTTGGAGCTTCCTTGCTTGAGTTCAGTTCTTGGCTATGGAGGATGAGGTTGCAAGAGCTATCCTTCTCTCTTGGGTCTCTTTGGCCGAAATAATGGGAGAGGGTGAGTGAGGGGATAGCCTATTTGGCATTTCTCTCAAAATAATGTGTAAATGGACCCCCTCATGGTACCTTGATAGCTTCCTCCCACCTCCCTCTTGTCTCACAGCTCAAGTGTGACACAAATCAGCCCCCTTTGGCTGCCAAATTCGTGGGTTGGCCCCCACCCATGTGGGAGGTCAACCCTTTTTGTCCAGAAGTGTACAATTGGTCTCGAAAGTTGTATTTTTCGGACTGTTTTAGATATATTTTATTTTATCGGGTCAAATAAAATATATTATGTGTTCTCCATCATTATGACCCCTATAATGAATATTCATCTCCCAACTTTAATTTATAAGTCCCCGAGATTCAATTTCGGGCTTTCATCGGTTAAATTGCCAATACCGGTATTTGGGCCTCTTTTGACAAATCGGTCAACTCTGGACCTTCCCATGGCTCAAATGAGATATCCACCACCATATAAATATTATCTAGACCAAGATGAATAAAATATGTGGTCCCGGAAATATCGGGCGGCCCCCGCTCCCGGTGTGGGCCCCACGTGCGAATTTACTATTCACGCGAAAGAATTAATAAAAATTCATAACATCGTAAACTCGTTACCCAATCCATAAGCTTAAATACAATATTATTCACTTAAGAGTAAATGCATTTGGGGACGGTGTTACACCAGCCGCCAGGTCGGCCAGGACGCCACTGCCCCACGCGGCCACGCTCCCACCGTGACCCCGCCGACCCGCCTGCCCGTCTCCCTGAGTCCGGTCAATTTTCTGATTCATTTAGTTGCTAATTCTTGGAAATATTTGAATTATTGAATTGTCGAACTTGAATTGTTTCTTGGTTCAATTATTGTAATTTGTTTATTTTCTGATTTCATGTTTGTTGAATTGTTGCATTGTTTTTTTTGAAAGGAAATCGTTGCATTGTTGTTAATTGTTATTTGTTGATTTTTTGTAGTTAAAGACTTAAAGTAATTCATTAGTTGAATTGATAATAAATGTGTAAATGTGTTTAGCAATTAAACTTTAAGAAAGTGGTATAAATATATTATCAGGTAACTTGAGATTGATAAATTATAATTATACTAGTAAATTTTTTACTATTTCGTTTATTAGTAACTTGTATTTTAAGACAAGTTTATTGAAAAAAGACCAAATTTTATTCTCGAACAGGGTCTATATTTTTTTGGGACCGGCCCTGCTGCTTACATGTTCTTGTATTATTATGGCCATACGTATTGCAGTTGCGACACTTCATCTTACCACCGGTCTTGGGCAATTTTTTGGGATCTCGTGGCAGTTCTGACCTTTCATCCTTTGATTTTGCCCTATTTTTCTTAGGCCTTCTAGGCATTACTTTGTGAGGTGGTGGTTTGATGTCAGAACCTGGAACTGCCGGCCACATTAAATATCCATTCAAAGTAAGTAAGAGAATGAGTTTCCCTTTTGTAATAGGTATCCACCTAAATTAGTCATAACTAAGAGTGGAGAAATTGCAGGCTAAGAAAATTTTACATCACCTTTGATAACCCTAATTTTTTAAGATTTTATTTCGTAACCCATTGACAGATATTAAGAAAAATTGTACAAACCAATTCACCTATTTGACATTCTTCTTCTTCTCGTTCTGTTCTTCTTGTTCGTTCTTCGGCTTCGTGCTCCTTGGTCACTAACAGAGCGAGCACGAGAGGGGAGAGAGGTTGGGGTTCACTTCTGCTTCTGCTTTGAGCCTTTTAAATTATGCGAGAAAGGGGAAGGATTATTTATCGCCAAAGAGCGGGATATGTCACAGAGAAGAAGAAAGACATTTCAAAATATCCACGAGCACTAAACGGGCATTAAACGATTAATGAAACGGAATCTATAAATGTTACTTCCTCCATTCTTTTTTATTAGTCCTTCTTTCCTATTTGGGCCTTTTTTTTTATTTGTCCCCCTTTCCCTTTAAGGAAAGTTTTTGAGAAAATACTCCACTTTTATTACTTTTACCCCACTTACTTTTTACAAACTACTTTCTCTTTCCTACTTTACCATCACTTTACTCTTCTTGATACATTCTCTTTCTTACTTTATCATCACTTTACTCTTTTTAATATTATCTTTCCTACTTTATCATTTACCCTACACACTCTATACTTACCCTACTACTTTATTATTAAAACTCGTGCCAAACTCTAAGAGGACTAATAAAAAAGAACGGAGGTAGTATAAAATAGACAATTTGAATCTTTTTAAGATAAATTTTAAAGTTGAGAATAGATTTGTGAATTTTAAGAAAGTTGAGAATATATTCAGCCAATAAGTCTTGTATTATTGACTTTATGAACATAGAAATCACATTTCTGCCCAAAGGCGATGTGGGATGCTAATGTAGTAAAATATAATGATTATAATGTCATTAAGTTTAATTATTGGGATTAGCCAAAGCGAAATCAATGATTAAACATGACATTTTAGAATCTATTATTTCGGTGTTGATAATAGATAATATTTACTGACATATTTTATGATAAATTTGTCAGTTATTTTACTCGTTCAAATCGTTTTTGCATACACTTAAACTTTATGATTTCCAACAGCCACTTTAACATCAAATTGTGGGATTGAACCCTTAACTGGCACTAATTTTGAGTCATGGAGAGACAATGTCATACTAACCCTTGGAGTCATGGATCTTGATTATGCCCTAAGACATGATCCTCCAGCTGCACTCACCGCTGAAAGTACTCAAGAGCATAACCGAGTGCATGAACAATGGGAGAGTTCAAATCGCATGTCTCTTATGATCATAAAGAATTCCATCTCGGTTGCCATTCGTGGAGCCATACCGGATTCGGACAATGCGAAAACTTATTTGGACTCCGTAGAGGAGCAATTCAAGGTCACCTCCAAGGCTCATGCGAGTACATTAATCTTGCAAATGTTGATAAAGAAATATGATGGTGTGAGTGGTGTGCGTGAGCACATTATGATGATGAGTGACATGGCTAACAAACTTAAGAGCATGGATATGGAGATTAGTGAGGGCTTCTTAATCCACTTCATTATAACCTCCTTGCCCGCACAATTTGGTCCTTTTAAAATTAACTATAACACTCAAAAGGAAAAATGGAAAATGAGGGAGTTAATTGCAATGTGCGTACAAGAGGAAGAGCGCCTCAAAGTGGAAAGGCCCGATATCGCTCATCTCATAACCGCAAACACTAGCAAGAGAAAAGGCAAGTTCAAGACTGGTGAAAGCTCAAAGGTTCACAAAAATGGTACAAGTGCAGTCGCGGCCTCAATCAATGCCAAGGGTCCTCCTCGTTGTAAATTTTGCCATAAGAAAGAACATTTTCAACGAGAGTGCTCTAAGTTTAAGGAATGGTTAGCCAAGAAAGGTACACATCTATTTATTATTTATGAGTCCTTTAATATAAGTGTTCTGATAAACACATGGTGGATTGATTCTGGTTCTATGGTTCATGTGACAAACTCCTTACAGGGATTCCATACAACCCGGAGGTTGGAAAGAAACCAAAGGACCATTAAAATCGGGAATGGTGAAGACCTTAATGTTGAAGCTGTTGGTACCTTACCTTTAGTATTGGAAGGTGGCTTCTGCATGTATTTATATGACACATTATATGTACCGAGCATTACTCGGAATTTAGTATATGTACCTAAGTTAAACAATAATGGTGATCGGGCTAAACTTGCAAGTATACAAGTGCCGCTATAGTAATAAAATACCGGTAAATATCGGGTCGATCCACATGGAAATGGTTGATATTATAAAGTCGAGTATTGAATGCAACAAATATAAATGATATAATTTTTCAGGAACTTTGCTCTTTGAGATTGGTTCAAACAAGAATGAGAATTACTAAGACAATTGGGATTCACCTAAATGCTTTAATAGTTATTTAATAATAGTTCTTCCCCAATAATTATGAATACGATGTCGCTAATATATTCTCAACTCCGGTTAAGGCAGCAAGAGCGTGGTTTTCGTTACGTGTAAGTCCCGTTACGGCTTACATTCATCTACCAAAAATCCCGTTGAATATCAAGACATCACACCCGTATCATATAAGATCGGATATATTTCTATTCTCGGTACTATATCTGTTTATCCTTTAATGTTCATAGTTTAGACTTCAACGTTAATTGCAAGCATAAACTAAATTTAACATACTTCTATGTTGTACACCATAGTCATAAACAATCAAAATATAAACGATAAATCACAATTTATTGGCTTAGAAGTTAGAACTATTATCAAACACCTAGTGTGCATAGAGGTTCATCCCTAGCCTTAGCTAAGAAATTAGCTTCTAATGCTCATATTAAAACACAATACAATATTGAAATGTAATGGAACATGAAATTACAAAGGAAATAATACTTTAACACAAATGATTTCGAAGGTTGAAGTTTCCTCCTCAAGAACTTGAAGAAAAATAGCAAGAACAAATTATAAGAACTAGGAATTAATCTATGGAATGGAATGTGTTTGCTTGATGAATTGAGAGCTTTATATAGGCTAAAGAATGGCATCTTTTTGTTTATTCAAGCCCAACAATCAGGTATGGAGCAATATTTGATCAAGAAATGAGGAAGATGAACTTTTCCCATAAAAAATCCTCTTGCATGTTGGCCTATTTTGTGCAGAAATCACCCCAACCGGTGCCGGTTATGTCCTGACCGGCGCCGGTTCAAAACCGGCTCATTTTGCTCGAAACAATTCACCTGACCAGCGCCGGTTGCTGTGCCAAAAGATATACTTCCTTTCTCTTCCTCTTTTATGGATAAAAAAGTGTCAGTTTTTGACCTGGGATTTTGGGGATGTTGCGCTACGAATTTGGACATGCTTTCTTCACCAAAGTTGTAGATAATGAAGTCTTCTATCCACCAAAACTTGAATGATGTGATTTGATTTTATTCATCCAATCAAAAGATATGAATAAAACACTGAGAGGTATGCATCCTCCCACCAGCAACGTCTGACTTTATTGGTTGATTGAGTCTTGTTCCTTTCATATTTTGGCCATGACGTCTTCATAACATTTGTACCCTATTGAGTTAACATTCACATGAAATTCG